AAGTTGCCAAAGCGTCGGCAACCTCATTGTGAATCCTTGGAATATGCCTGAAATCTATTGATTGAAACCATTGACAAAGTTCATGCAAACACTGCCGGTACAGTATGAGCTTCAAGTCTCGTGTCTCCCATTCTCCCTGAATCTGGTGCACCAGAAGTTCCGAGTCACCCATGACCAAGATTTCCTAGACGCCCATGTCTATAGCCAATCTCAAACCCAAGATACACGCCTCGTATTCAGCCATGTTATTGGTGCAATAGAAACGAAGTTGAGCCGTGATATGGTAGTGTTGCCCTGTCTCGAAAATCAGTACTGATCCTATCCCGACACCTTTGGTGTTGGCAGCCCCATCAAAGAACAGTTTCCATCCCGGCTTCTCGACTTGTTCCAATTCTTCAACATGCATTATCTCCTCATCGGGGAAGTATGTCTTCAAAGGTTCATATTCATCATCAACTGGATTCTCAGCCAAATGATCAGCCAACGCTTGTGCTTTCATTGCAGCCCGGGTCACATAGACAATATCAAACTCCGTAAGAAAGATTTGCCACTTCGCCAGCCTCCATGTGGGCATGGGCTTCTGAAAAATGTACTTCAACGGGTCCAACCGAGAGATGAGATAGGTGGTATATGATGACAAGTAATGCTTCAACTTCTGCGCTACCCAGGTTAAGGCACAACACGTCCTCTCAAGTTGAGAGTACTTCACCTCATACGATATGAACTTCTTGCTGAGGTAGTAAATCGCCTGCTCTTTCCTTCCTGTGATGTCATGCTGCCCCAGTACACAACCAAAAGAATTATCCAAAACTGTCAGATAAAGGATCAAGGGTCTTCCCAGCTCCGGCGGGACCAACACAGGTGGAATAGCCAAATACTCTTTAATCTTGTCAAACGCCGCTTGACATTCATCCGTCCATCTGACCGCAACATCTTTCTTTAGCAGCTTAAAGATGGGCTCGCAAGTCGTTGTGAGCTGGGCAATGAACCTACTGATATAATTCAACCTGCCAAGCAAACTCATCACCTCCTTCTTGTTCCTTGGCGGCGGTAGCTCCTGAATGGCTTTGATCTTGGACGGGTCTAACTCAATACCGCGTCGACTTACCACAAACCCCAACAACTTCCCAGATGGGACTCCAAACGCACACTTCGCTGGATTAAGTTTGAGGTTGTACCTGCGGAGCCTCTGGAAAAATTTCCTCAAGTCCTTGACATGGTCACATTGTTTCCTTGACATTATGATCACGTCGTCTACATAGACCTCAATTTCCCGATGTATCATATCATGGAACATGGTGGTCATCGCCCTCATATACGTTGCCCCTGCGTTCTTCAACCCAAATGGCATGACCCTATAACAATACGTTCCCCAAGGGGTGATGAATGCCGTTTTCTCCGCATCCTCCTCATCCATCAAAATCTGATAATAGCCCGCATAACAATCCACGAAGGAACCAATCTCATGTTTGGCACAATTGTCAATCAATATATGGATGTTTGGCAGTGGGAAGTTGTCTTTTGGACTCGCTTTATTGAGATCAAGGTAATCTACGCACACTCTGGTCTTTCCATCCTTCTTTGGCACAGGCACAACATTGGCTAACCAGGTGGGATACCGCGTGACTCGGATGACCTTTTCCTCAAACTGCTTGGTGACCTCTTCTTTGATTTTCACACTAATGTCTGTTTTAAATTTCCTTAGCTTTAGCTTGACAGGAGGACATGCTGGGTCGGTGGGCAATTTGTGGACCACCAAAGCAGTGCTTAAACCAGGCATATCATCATATGACCACGCAAAAACGTCTTTGTACTCAAACAACGGTTTAATTATCTCTTCTCGGAGCTGGGGTTCCAAATGGACACTTATTTTCGTTTCCCGTACATTCTCCTGATCCCCTAAATTGATTGCCTCTGTGTCATTCAGATTAGGTTTGGGTTTTTCTTCAAAATGGCTTAATTCTTTACTGATTTCCTCAAAAGCTTCCTCATCATCATATTCCATTTCGTCACTACACTCAATTTTTTGTATTATTATTTCAGAGTTAGATTGGCATTTAAGACTGGGCCGAAGACTTCTCATGCATGACACATCACTGAAACCAGCGTAAAAAGGACTGTACAAGAAGGAAAAGAAAGACAAAATAAAAACTATCAGGAATGAAAAAGGAGGGAAATTGCATTTCATTAAAATTTAAGATAACAAGGTTTAACTCATCCAAACGGACGGAACATAGCATCCGAATTACAACCTTGGAAATAATCCAGATTAAACTGAAAGGAAATCAAAACTAACTACCAAGACTCCCTCCGGGTAGGAAGGGGAGTTGCTTCCCAATTGTTAAGCTTTGCCTGGGGCCCCACGAACTGAACATTTGCCTTGCTTGGACCTTCTCCGGCCTCAAACACATTCACTTCATCAAACAGCTTTCAAACCTCTCGATCCACTCCTTGTCGGGATCAATCACAACGCTGGGCATTGTTGTTGCTAGGCGCTTCTTAGTACCAGGCCTGACAAAGGAACGGGAAAGGCGGGGAATAGGTTTTGGAAGGGTCCATACTTTCTTTTTCATCTTTCTAGCTCGCCTTAAGTCTGCGGCAGTGGGCTGGAAGCCTAAACCAAAAGTATCCAGGTTTCCAGAAGAGATACCGGCTGTATGATGCCTTGCAGAGAAACACCCAAGCCCTTTCCAGGTACAATCCGTTCTTTAACATTTTCGAAGCCACCATGACAGATGCAGCGGCTACCTTTGGCACAGGAATACACTCTCCTTCCAGGATCTTTTCAACTGATACCGTGTCCAAGATTTGATAAACCCATGGACCTTTATTGTCCTCAGCTTCTATGAAGGGCACGATTGCATCACCCAGAGCACACGAACTATCTTCCCCATGCACCACATTCTCTTGCCTGTCTCACCGAATTTGACCATCTGATGCAGGGTCGATGACACTGCTTTTGCTGCATGGATCCAGGGTCGGCCTAACAAAAGATTGTAAGAAACGGCCTCATCGAGCACCTGAAACTCCATAGTAAATTCAACCGGTCCTATTTCCTCCTCCTTGAAATCCTCGCACGAAAATGCTATTCTTGTGGATTCTCTCACTTTCCACCTTTAACTTGTCCAGGGTGGAGAGAGGTCAGATGTTTGCACTGGACCCGTTGTCAATCAGCACCCGGGTGACCACAGAGTCTTCACATTTCACCGTGAGGTAGAGTGCCCTATTATGCTCACTGCCTTCCAAAGGCAACCCATCATCAGAGAATGTAACCCTGTTCAATTCGAAAATCTTGTTTGCTATTTTCTCTAAGTGGTTCACAGAGATCTTATCCACAACATGGGCTTCATTCAAAATTTTCATCAATGCCCGGCGGTGCTCGTCCGAGTGGATCAATAATGATAGCAGTGAGATCTGTGCCGGGGTCTTTCTCAGCTGTTCTACAATGGAGTAATCTTGTGCCTTCATCTTCTTCAAGAATTCTTCTGCCTCTTCTTCAGTTACGGCTTTCTTTACTGGTACTAGATTATCTTTGGCAGTTTTAGCTCTTCTCAGCTCTTCAGGGGCAAAGCATCTTCCTGAACGAGTCAGCCTAGAGGTTTCACAAACTTCTTCTTTGGCTTCCTTCCCCTTATATGTCACTGTCACTCGGCCGTAATTCCAAGGAACGACCTTTTCACTGATTACTGGTAACTGAGTCATTGGCTTGATAATAACCAGCTCTATTTGAGCCACTTTTACGATCACAACGGGCTTGGTAGCTGCCCCCGACACCACCACTTTAACTGGCTCTTGCTTTACTACAACACTGCTCGAAGGCTCTTTTTCCACCACAACTAGTTCCTATTTTATTGCAACATTGCTCGAAAACTCTTTCTGCATCACCACAACTGGTTCACTAACTGTTTCTTCCACCTTTATCAATGTCCTTCCGCTAGTTGTTTTCTCAGTTGGCCTGTCCTCACTAGCCCTGATCATCATTACGGTTTGCGAAGGCTTTTTATGCTCTCCTTTTTGTACTAACTCAATCATATGGGTCTCATGATGGGCTGGCAGTTGATTCTGATTGATGTTAGGCGTCTTTGGGGCTTGCACCTCAATCCGGCGGGTATCAATGAGCTCCAGGATGGCCATTTTTAATTTCCAACACTTTTTCGTGTCGTGCCCCGGTGCCCCCGAACAATACTCACAACTCAATGAATGATCAAGATTTCTTGGAAGGGGATTTGGTAACTTAGCTTCAATTGGACTCAACATTCCCAACTGCCTTAGCCTATGGAATAAACTGGTGTATGACTCTCCCAAAGGGGTGAAAGTCTTCTGTTTCTGTATCCTCTCTTGCTTGAAAGTTTGATTAGCTCGAAAACCTGTTCCAGGGGGTTTTTTTGTAGGCTCTTGGAGGTGGGTAGGTGTTTTGGGGAGTTGGGTAAGTATTTTGTGGGGTGGGTGCGTGCCATTGCGCATGGGTAGGAGGTTGGGGGTATGTCTGGGCATGGTGGACAGAGAAGTGGGGATTAGGAAGTGGGTAATAGTGTTGTGGTGGGCCGTACGGAGTGTGTGGGTAGGTTTGGGGATGGGGTCGAGGTTGGTTATAATAGGGTGATGGGCCCCTGGACCAAGCCCTTGATTCAACCACTACAACATCTTCTTTCTATTTCTTTCCCAATACCCCTCCAGTGCCGCTCTGGATAGCCTGGGGAGTTGCCTTGATCGTAAGAGAAAAGGGCATATGCCAAGACACAAAATTTACATATCATGTTAAATTTGTGTTGTTACTCTATATTAGAGGTAAAATCCAGTTCTAGGAACAACTTAAACATTACACATTTCCTATGTAAAGGGACCAATAATATACATTTCAATTAATTTAAAAATGTCGAGTGAAATATCACACAGACCAAAATCAGAATATATCAGTAAACCTAAGGGAACAATAGCGCAATTACCGCTTATTTCGATAAACCCAACACTATACGAAACACTTCACAAAACTTTAAAATCAACATACTATAAAATTAGATCCATACCCTTAAACGATCGGAGAGGACGGAAGGGGTGATGAGCTTATACTTGGGAGCTTCAGAGAGGAGCTTGTCGTAAGTGGCCTTATCGAACAAAACCATGTTGTTCACCTTCTCCTTTTGCTTTCCCTTGCTCCACTTCTGCCAATTCACAAAAAACCCCAACAACATTAAAACCCTCAAATATTCCAATAAAAAAGAATAAATAAAGTCATATCAAAAAGGAAAAAGCTATGACCTTCTTCTTCTGCTTTCCACCACCAGACTTGGCGGGCTTGGACGACGGAGGAGGAGCTGCCTTCTTCGGAGCCTGCAAAAATGGCCAACATATCAGCATTCAGTTCTCAAACATATATATATGTAATATCAATAGAGCGGTAGAGAACCTTACCATTGATGGCGGAACTGCGTAAGGGGGTAGGGGGAGGGGGAGTAGCGGAGGCTAGGGTAAGAGAGGAGGAGAAGTGCAGTGCGAAGAGCAAAGGCGCTATTTCTAGACCTGTATGTATACCTGGGGGTTTCTAGGGTTTTTTTATTGGATCAACTCAGATGGGCTTAACTTATTTGGGCCGATGAGTGCTCAGCCTTAAATACATTACAAAAATTGGCATAATGCCTTAACCCCCCTAAACTTGTCGCGAATTATTAGTTTCCAACCTAAACTACCTCGGGTTCGAATTACAACACTAGGATAAGTGAATTTAGAAACTCCCCGGACTTCCACATGGCACAAGAAGTGATCTCAAATGGTCTTTGGTGTGTGAGGATGGATAAAAATAACCACCTAATCAGCTATAACGGTAAAAAAGTCCCCTAATTAACATTTTCCTTTTATTTTTTATATTCCTAACCGCTATCATTTCTTCCTCTTTATAAGTTCTTCCATTGAAGCATACTATTGCTCTTTCTTTTTGTATAATTCTATATTTTCTTCTTTGTTTGTTGAAGTTCTTAGTGATATTCTTGGTTTCCTTCCCAGTTTTTTCCAAGACATTGAAGATGAACCCACTTTGTAAATGTAGGTATCCGTCACATTTAAAAATTTCATGGTCAAATGTCAATTCGGGAAGAAGATTTTTTGGTCGTAAAAACTATTAGGTATGATAAAGTAATGTTTAGAAGGTTTAAATGGATTATAATTTATGTTGGGTTTGTTCTAGGTTTTTTCATAAAAAAAAATTGATAGTTGTGCTTTTTGTACAGGTTGATGATCGTAAGGCTTTTGAGTGGTACAAACCGGAATGTTACATCTCGCGTTTCTCGTACGTTAAAATTTCGTCTTCAATTAATTAACGTAAACTCGAGGGTGAGATCATCTTGACGTTAACGTACTTACGCTAAAAAGTGATAAATAAGTGTTACGAAGGATAAGGGGTACACGGATTAAAGAAAACGNAGAAAAGGAAATACAGACTCAAAGGACAATCATGAATACATTAAAGCTCCTAGTGCCCGCGGGACATCGTTCGGTCTCGCCGCGGGCCTATATGCAAGTTCCCCTTGAAGTCTGTCCAGGTCACTTATTATCTGCTTCACAAATATCATCACTGATGCAAAGAAGGTGGTACGAGTCATAGTCTCGCACACTTGGTATTTCCTAGTAATGGAGTGGGCAATAAGATTCTCTCTCTGATTTTGCCTTTTTCTTGAAGCAACCGCCCTATCTGTTGGGCCCTAGCCTCCAAAGTTTGCTCGGCTACCTGATTTTGTTCCTGGAGTTGTTGCAAGTCCATTTCTAATTGTGCCAATGCTGTATAGCAGTGCTCTCTTTCAACTTTGAATTCTTTTGCCTGTTTGATCATTCTGTTCTCTGTGGCAATGGCCTTTTTCTTCAATCCTGTGACCTCATCATCGTATTCTTCTTTCAACTGCTTAACCATGCGAGCCCGTTCTTCTGCGTTCTTAGCCAATTGTTTCCGAACCCCGGCTAATTCCCTTTCTGCTTTGTTGAGATCAAAACTGCAGTCATTCACTTTTTGCCTTAGATTTTCTATAAGCTTTGCATCTTTGGCGCTCCTGACGGGATTTTCGGCCACTAGCTTCATCTTTTGGATTTGGGCTCGTAAGGATTCATTCTCTTTGGCCAATTTCTTTCTCTCACCCTCATCAGCCGCGGCTTGCATGCTGTTTTTAAACTGGAGGTCTTGGACCTGTTTTTCCAATGCTCCTATGCGGGCCCTGCATTCATTTTCTTTAGCTAACCAAGCCCACTGTTCTTGCAATGATTCAGCAAAAGCCTGGAGGTGAGGTCTTTTAGCCGGCCTCCCAAATGCAACTTCCCTTCTGTACCAAGCATGGTACTCAGGTGACACTACTCCTTTAGATCTATCCCGCACACAAGTATTCGCTGCCAAGTATTGACATTCGCTCCAAACCTGGCGAACCTTTGCTTCAGGAAGCTGTCCATCAGGACCAATCTCAATCACTTGGATGCTAAGATCGTCGTCTTTCGGCACTATCTAGCATCTCCCGAGTTGCCTTAAAACCCGATACGGAGTATAAGGCTGAATGCTTTTAAGACCCATCAAAAGGAAGTGCGGCCCCGTTGCTGGCATATATATGATTTCATCAACAGGCAACCATCCAAATGTCCACTCTATTTGACTAGCAGTAAGGGACCGAAAGTATGATGTCCGGCCCGTGAATCCCTCGGGCAAGCTGACCCCCTTAATCCTTGTGTAAAACTCCTCTATACATGTCTTCTTTGTGGACCCATAACTCAGGAACTGAGGACGATGGCACAAGTGTTCGGTCATCCACATTTGCAACAATAGATTGCACCCCTCAAAGAAGTCTCCTCCGGCTTTGCAAGCTGTAATAGCGCGGAAGATTTCGGCTAATATCATGGGCACAAGAGTGCTTTTGGCTTGAGTGAGTAGAGTGCTGACGACCCCGGCTATTTTTATGTCAATGTTTCCATCTTTCCTCGGGAATACCAAAAGCCCTAAAAAGACCACCATAAAAGCAAAACGCCTATGTTCTTCCCATTTTTGGCGGTTTCCTTTGCTACATATCTTGTTTTTCGGGTTGTTGAACCATCCTATGTGGCCATATTTGTGGTATAGGAAGTGCGGGGTACAAGAATCTGTGCACAGCTACGGTTCTCGGGGCAACCAAGTACTTGTGTCTTAAAGGAACCTCAGAATTTCCGATGTATCCAGCTATTTCTTCTAAAGTTGGGGTGAGTTCAAAGTCTGAAAAATGGAACACGTTGTGTGCCAGGTCCAAGCATGTGACCAATGCTCTTATGATGTCTCCCCGAGGCACAATCTCCAACAAACCGATAAGCCCTTTCAAATATTTTTTTGACTTCATCTTGCCCTTCTCCTCCTTGATCGTTCCACCACAGACGCAACTCCGAGATTTTATGCATGATTGAGAAAGGTTCCTTTTGAATCGTGCTCATCCTGCACATTTAATAAGGTGATTTAATCACTTATTTTGACCTAAAAGGGAAAAATGACACTATCTTTTTTCAAATTTCTAATTTAAAACAAACAGCCGGTTTTGCAGATACGGCCTTTCAGCACTTCGGGGAGAAGATCTTAAGGCTGTGCCCGCTAACCGTTGAAAATGACCCAGGGTGGCCGTTCTCGCAAAAACAGCCTTCCGGCGCCCTTTTAGGGGCATTCGGCTTGTTTTAGACTAGAATAGCCTCACCTGACTTATTTATGACAAAATAAAAATTTTTGTTGTTTTGGGCTATTTTTGCAAAAGGGCAGTTGGACCCGATGAGGGTTGCCTACGTATCCCACATCCTATGAGAATCAAACTGGCGTAGTTCGGGCAAATAAAACTACCTATTTTCGAAAAGAAAACTCTTTTTCGTTGGCAAATACACTATTTCTGAAAACAAGACTCTTTTTTATATTTTCTTTTTCAGTGGCAAATAAAACAAACTAATTTGAAAATAAAACTCTTTTTATTTTTCTTTTCCATTGGCAAACAAAACAAACTATAAAAATACTTCTCTTTTTTTTTCTTTCATTTTTCTCAAAAATCCGGCAGAGTTTCGGCACTACTTGGACATTGGTTTTTCTAATATAGGTAATTAACTCTCTACACTGCTATTTTCTCTGTTTCTCTTTTTGTTTTTCAACTTTTCTAGGTATTCAAAGCCGGTCAGCATGCGAGTCCGAGACAAATAAATGTACACGCAACACGTAAGATGCATCAGGATGGTCTTTTTCATTTCAGGTTACCTGTCCTAGACGGACCCAACCCTTGTGTTGTGTCCCATAAGTCATATGCACGTGATGAAAATAAGCGTTCCTACTAGGCATCCAGCATGAAGTCAAGTTATTCTAGGTTCAAAACCTGGGTATATGTTCTAGACTGTGTACCCGAGCGGACAACTCGAGTCGAGGAGGGGGCTACGTACCGACAACCAAAAGGCCATCCGGCTTAGTAACTTGTCCGGCCACTTTCTTATTTAAGGGTATGAAACTAACAGAATAGGGAGTCTTAACCAGTAAGCACATCCCCGGAGATGAGAAGAGAAGGGTTTCGTCACAGTTTATATACAATTCAAATAATATCAAAGCGGTAAAGCATTTAGCACATTGAGCATGAAACATGTAGGAAAATCAGATAAAGCCAAATACAACAACATATCTAAGCTCGAATTCTGAACCCTGAACCGGAGATTCTGGGTTCTTTTCCCCAGCAGAGTCGCCAGAGCTGTCACACCTCCTTTTTCCTACACCCCGTATGGGTGTAAAGGAGTTTTTCCAATTAAAGGACAATCGAAACGGGATTTGTTTATTAAAATTCAGAGTCGCCACTTGAGAGATTTATGGTGTCCCAAGTCACCGGTTGAATCCCGAATCGAGGAAAAGAATGACTCTGTTTAACAGTCTGCGAACCAGAAATCCGAGTAAGAAATTCTGTTAACCCGGGAGAAGGTGTTAGGCATTCCCAGGTTCCGTGGTTCTAGCACGGTCGCTCAACTGTCATATTTGGCTTATTTACTTGATTTTAGTACATGTTTTAACCTATGTGATTTTTAACTTTGAACCGCTTTATTATTATTATTATAATTATTATTATTATTTTAAGAGACTTGCAACGTCGTGAAAACACGTCTCGAACCACGTCACATAAATGCACCCGTGGTTTTTGACACGTTTCGACTTTGTTGGGATTTGGATTTGGGTCACATAAATGTGCACCCGAGTTTAGGAAGGTAATATTTTTAAAAGCCGGGCCTAAAGCAACTAGCATATTATTATCTTTGTGGGAGGCCATGAAATTCGCTAAATAGCTCTTCCCGAGGTCTAAATATTTTATTGAAATAGTTAAGAGGGCCACACTATTTATGCATTTTTATTTGGTGTGGCGCGCCTCGTTTTATTTTTAAGGCCAACCTAAAAGAACTACGATTTTCTGCCAAGTATTATCTCTGAAAGGGCCTAATTAACTGGTGTTACTAACTGCAAATTAGTAGAGGCAGCCCAAGAATGGTTTTTAGCGAATTGGGCTTCAGACCGATCCAAAAGGAGG